GCAAAAAGAGAAAAAGAACACGCTGCGGCCTAGACAGTAACACCGAGGGAAGGGGGGTCCCGCCGATCGAGGTTGGGATTCCGGGACCGGATATATGACAACCCCCGCCCTCCCCCGCCCCTCCCTCGGCCGACAGAGCAAAAAGAGAAAAAGAACACGCTGCGGCCGAGTTATCTATATAGTATATACATATTGTCATATACCATCATGAAAGAGTAAAAGAGTATATATATTGTTATTGTCACATATTCGTCAAGTGAAATAGTAGTAAAATGCACACTTTGCAAATAAAAAAAGCCAACGAAAAAAAGAAGAAAGATGAAGGATACTCCAAGTCTGTGTCCTGCTGAAGGCATAGTATAGTCCGCACATCTTCTTTGTGCTTCAGATGGTCTACATCTCCGGGAATCTGCAACACAACAAACATATGTCTGTTAGCCTGCTGCCTAAACGGGGAGGAGAGGGAGGAGAAGAAGAAGGACAAAGAAGGGAGGAGGAGGAGGAGGAGAAGAAGAGCAAGAAGAGGAGGAGGAAGAAGAAGAAGAACACATCCCACGATCTGATCTGTTACATATGAGATCCTCAGCACATCACAAACGACAGGTGAGGTTGATGAGTTTGCACAGCACATAAAGAAAAAGGATAATCTTATCTAATTTTATCCGTCTTTGACGGCTTATGCAGAGAGAATATACTTTATTTGTTTATGCAAATTAATCCGATCTTATTCTCCCTCTCACGATATGATCATCACAAGGGAGAGCGATCTAGCGTCCCTGGTCTGCAAGTGGTTGGTTGTGGGCGGAAGCCCCGCCGGCTGTACATCCCTCTACACTGCACCTGTCTGTCAGACTGGAAACAATACCCTGCAGCACTGCAACTAATGTCAATTGCAAATTTACCCTTGTAACCTTGGAGCATAGCTACGATCCGGACCACCGGACGGGGATCCAGACTGACTGAAATCCGGCGTTGGGTCCGGCGTCCAGATGGTGGGCAGATAGTGAGGCAGGGGATTTTTTTTTTTTTGGCTTCCAGTCACCAGGTACGCTTCCTCTACCCTCGGGCCTCTCTCTCTCTCTCTCTCTCTCTCTCTCTCTCTCTCTCTCTCTCTCTCTCTCTCTCTCTCTCTCTCTCTCTCTCCTCCTAACTATGTGCGGTTGCTGACTACCCCCTAGCTATTGCTGCCTTCCAAAGCACTCTCTCCTCTTAATGACAGCAGCAGGGCAGCACCGCTCACTACGCCCACACTTGACCAGAGAGCAACGCAGAATGTGCCACAAGTGGATGGGCAATGAAGGTAGGTGGTATATTCCTTTGGCTGAAGCTCTCGTTCCCAGCATCGATACATGGGCTCAGACAACTGCGGCTGGGCCTCGGGCCGCACTGAGATGATAACCGTATAGAGTCCATAGAGTCTATAGACCCTAAATTTGCCCAGAAACTTCATCAGGGCCTTTGGATGTTGTGATCGTAACTTTGTAGCATGTCGTCAAAGTTGCTTTCTCAAAGTTTCCATCTGCAGAAATCGTCGACTCTTCGCCTTCTGGAGCGTGTGGTCGAACTGGGCCGGACTGTTGTGACTTTCCCAGGTCTGGGTACGCGAATCCAGATCCAGACTCACGCAGGTAGGCCTACCTCTGACACAAGTCCTACCATTCTGAGAACGTTCGTCTGACGTGCCGAGGCCTCAATTGACTGACTTTGACTGACTTTGACTGACTTTGACTGACTTTGACTGACTTTGACCAAACTGAGGAATTTCTGACTTGACTAAGAGGCGGCACGGGGGGCGGGGGGGGGGGGGGGGGAGAATTTTGGGACAGTTTGCAGGATCGAAGGGTTGTTTATGGCAGAGGGTGGACGTGTTTTTTTCCGCGAACTACCCATGTTGCAGTAGGGCTCGCCTCCCCAAGTTAGTAGATCGCTGAGCTGCCAGGGTATTGCTGCCAGGTGAGTAGAGTGCTTTGTGAGATTTCCGGCACGGCTTGCCCGCAACGTGCATATTTATTATTTATATGTTATGTACTCTCTTGTCAATTTTATCGAGTGGCAGCATCCAAGAAATGAGCCAAATTGCACAAAAGCCACATACGTATGAACTTTGAAGTGCTATGAAGCGCTAGGAACTGGTGAAATACAGACCTCAGTTCGAATCCCAATGACCTCAGATGAATTTACCAGGGGCTGCTTATCAGTTTGAAGATGACTTCTCAAGGCAGCGCCTTTTTTTTTTTTTTTTTTTTTTGTTGTTGTTGTGAAGTACTATGTAACTATGAGCAAAAGATCACAACCGTGAAACAGACAAAGAGAAGAGCAGAATCAACAGATACTTATCAAAGGAGGAAAAAAAAAAAGAAAAAAAAAAAGAAAAAGGCAGAAAGGGAGTGGAAGACGGTTCCAAAAGGCACACGGACACGTTCTTGCTCACCTTTTTTTTTTTTTTTTTTAATTTTGCTCGCCTTTTCAGTTACTATTAATTGATAGTTTCTCTGTGTAGTTATTAAAAGTTTATAAAAAACTTTGAAGTCAAAACTTATTGACAGGTCCTTTCTGGACATGTGTTAAAAAAAAACTGGAAGTCTGGAAGTCTGGAACGATACAGAAGATTAGCATGGCCCCTGTGCGAAAAAGCCAAAAAAAAAAGAGACACTTCTTCTTCGCAATGGATTGTTGTCACAAAAGTGACAAAATACATGATGAACTCCACACATTATCCACAAAATTCTTTTGCTGGGCAACCAGATGTTCAGTTTTTTTTTGCAGATTTTTTTCGATTTTTTTGCAGCGGAAATTCTCTCTCCCATTCAGACGACAGGACAAAACAAACCTTTTTCGCTCTTATTACTAGTTATTAGCCTCTTAAATTAATGAATTTTAATAATTTAATTCCAATTTAGAAATTAAGAGGTAAATTAAAAAAAAAAAAAAAAAAAAAAGANTTTTTTTCAGATCTGAGTTGGGGGCTGTACTGCGCTTGTCGAGTACAGCCCAAATCCCCTGAGAAACTTTTGGGGGATGGGGGGGGTATTGGGGGTTATAGGGGGGTATAGGGGTGGTATAGGGGGTGTGTGGGGGGGGTATGATGGTGTTGGGTGGTGGTTTCAGGGTGTTGGGGGGGTGTCTGGGAGAATTTGGGGTGGGTATGGGGTTGTTGGTGGGCTCATAAGGGGTTCTGGACCAAAAACAAAAAAAAAGTAAAAATTAAAATTCGGGTTGCCGACGCCCCCCAACCGGTAGGTGCCGACCTGCCGACCAGTTGGCTGTTTTGACAGCCAACCAGTCGACGACCGCCGACAGTCGGGGTATGCAACACTGGTCTCTGGTGAGAAGCATCACACCTTGCGGGCAACCAGTAAAAAGAGGCGTATGAGGACTTCTGATAAGTGAGGGATCTGATTATATATTCCTTCTTTCAGAATGCCTGATTCAGAAATCGTCGAAGAACCTGCAACAACATTATTGTTTCCAAAGTCTGGACCGAATGGCCAAAAAGAGTAGAGGAGAACAGTGTTATGAACTTGGTTGTCTGTCGATTTTCACCAACACTCACACGCAGACAATCTCATGCACACCCATACATGCATAAGAAGAAGGGGAGAGGAGACAGAGTACACACTGCACACAGACAGAGTAAGCAGCGGAAAAGCACTATGCACAGGTGTGGAGATAACACTCCTCCTCCTCCTCCCGCTTCTCCTCCTCTTCGTGTTCCTCTTCCTCCCCATCCAAATCCTTCCCAATTGTCCTGCTCCCGGTTGCTGTGTTGTCCCTCCTCCTCCCGTCCCTCCTCCCACTTGTGCTGAATTCTCTCCCCCTCACTCCTCATCGTGCCCGTCCTCCTCCACCCACTTCTCCTCCTATTCGTGTTCATCGTCCTCCCCATCCCCATCCTTCCCCATCCTCCTGCTCCCACTCGTTACGTCGTCCCTCCTCCTCTCGTCCCTCACGCCCCTCTCCTCCTATCCGTGTTCGGCGTCCTCCGCTCCTCGTCTTTCCCCATCCTTCTGCCCCCGCTCGTTATGTCGTCCCTCCTCCTCCCATCCCTCCTGCAACTCCTGCTGCATCCTATCTGCCTCCCTCCTCACCGTGCTACCCCTCCTCCTGCCTCTCATCCTGGTCATCTTCGTCGTCCTTGCCCTCCTGCCTAATATGCACTTGTATTCGAACATTGGTCACGTTGGCCCCGACCCGCACCACTCCTATCGCCCCCTCCCCCTGATGCCACCTGCACCGTTTCGCGCAGCCCGAGAATATTCCAGAGCCTTCCCCGGGCACGGTGCGAGGCTATGCGGCGGCTCCCCGGGAAAAAAAAAGTGGACCCATTCTCGATTTATGTGCGTCATCCTTGCTCGCGGACCATGTTAATCTTCTCTGTGTCTTTCCAATCATAACGGATGTTCCTGTGGACATTCCCGTCCTCCTCCTCCTCCTCCTCCTCCTCCTCCTCCTCATTGTCTCCTCCTCCTCTTCCTCCTCCTCTTCTCCTTCTTCTTCTTCTTCTCGTTCTTCTTCTTCTTCTTCTCGTACTGTTCGTACTACTGCTGCCGATGCTGCTACTACTAGCATTGCGAGTACTGCTACGTGATGGCCGTCATCGTCATCACATCATCAGCATCCCCCTCACCTTCCCACTCATTGTCCCTCCCTCCCTGTCCCCAGCCACCCCAAGTACAGACGACAAATGTTTAGAAGAAGCGTGATAAGAAACGAAAAATTGGATGAAAAGCACACAAGCAGTGGGCAGACAATCAGTTTCCGCGGGTAATGAACGACCTGGGGCCGTAGGGCTGTGTGATTTTCAGCCGACCACTAATCGCATGGAAATAAGCATATGATGTTTTCACTCACCGCCGCTCCCGGCGCACGGCCAAGTCCTGCTGTGCAGTGGACATATGCAGTGCCACCGTTCTTCTGGATTCCGTGGTAGAGAGCCGCAACTGCCTCCGGGAGCGTCATCCTCAAGGAGAAAGGGTCAAAATCTCTGTGCACAGTCAGTCAAAAGGGTCAAACTCTCTGTGAAAAGTCAAAAGGGTCAAAATCTCTGTTAAAACCTGTGAACAGTCAAAATTCTGTCTAGCGTTCAACATGTCAAAAACAGAGGTTCGGCCTTGGCAATTCGATTGTCATTTTCATCATCATACCGTTCGGTCAAAACCTCTGTGAAAAGTGGAAGGGTTAAAATCCCTGGGAAATGTCAAAAGGGTCAAAAGGGTAAAAAAAATAAAATAAATTCAAACCTCTGTGGAATGTCAAGAGGGTCAAAATCCCTAAGCAAAGTCAAAAGGATCGAAGATTCGAAATCTCTGTCGAATGTTAAAACTTAAAAAGGGTCAAATTCTCTGTCTAAACTTCTCAAGTTGTGAAAAGTCAACATCCAGTTACTGTTTGGTCAAAAAAAAAAAAAAAACGGAGATTTGACTTTGACAATTCCATTGTCATTTTTCACTGGCCAACGCTCTTTGCTATCCGATCCCAATTTTTTTTTTATTTTTATTTTTTTTTATTTTTTTTTTTAAATTTGGACCATTTCTCGATCAATGTGTTTCATCCTTGCGCAGGGGCCATGCTAATCTTCTCTGTACCGTTCCAATTTTAACGGATGTCCCGAAGGACGTCCGATCCGAAAACATACAAAAAAACTCCAGTCACTTTTTTGGAAAAGTCAAAGTTAGTTTTTTATTTTTTTTGCTTGGGGGGCGGAAGAGGGGGTGGGGGAGGGGGGAGGGGAGGATGGTGATATGACCACCTGCAATCCGATCCAAAAACATTAAAAAAAAACTCCAATCACTCTTTTCGAAAAGTCACGTTTTTTCAAGTGGTGGTGATCAGATCAGTACCATGTCAGAACCTCCGACACCTCGTGACTACTACGTAGTACGTACGGAATTGAGCCACCACTGGTATTTTTTCGAAAACAAAAACACAGGGAAAAGAGGGGGGTAGGTTTTAACAGGATTCGAAGTTTGCAGTTTTGCCCCCTGTCTGAAGAGCAAAAAGTTGAAAACTCTCCTTCCAAGATCTTCGAGAATTGAAAGTTACTCTACGATGAAAACAAGTTTAAAAAACTTTTAAAAAGTCACACAGAGACCGAGTTTCGCAAAATGTCTAAAGTAGGTCTTAGAGACTTGGCATCATTTTCCAACATGGTTGGTACCTATAGTCGGCAGTACTGTCTTTTTCAGGTGTTAGGACCCTGAGCCTTGTCTTTTTTCGTTTTTTCTCTTTTGTTTTCGGCTTCTGTGTTTTTTTTGTTTGTCGTCTGTGTAGTAGCTTCGAGTACTGTCGACCCGTGAGTCTCCTTTTTGTTGATTCAGCATTACTGGATTCCCCTGGTACTATTTTTTTTGTATAGTTAGCTGTTTTACGAGCAGGTGATTTTCTAAGTAGGGACCTGAATCTGGCCAAGTTAGGCTGAGTTGCAGGTCGCAGATTTTTTGTACTATCTGGCACCGTACTCCGTAGGACTATAAAGAGTATGATTACTCGGCCTCTTACGGGGCGTTCACTGCCGACTACGGCGGTGACCGTCGGGCTCGTGGAATGATTGGAGGTTCTTGGGATTGTGGAACGCTTGTTTGCCGTAACTTTCGAGAATTTGGCGTTATCATACTCGACTGTGTCTTGTCGACTCCGTGTCTGCACATGGACTCTGTGTTTCGTGCACATGCGTTTGACTTTCTCTTGTCTACCTTGAGATACTTCTCACATCTCACATCATTTGCCAGAAACTTCATCGTGTGTTTTTTTTTTTTTTTTTTTTTTTTTTTTTTTTTTTTTNGACGAAGAAGAGGGAGGAGAAGGAGGACGAGAGAGAAAGGCGGAGGACGAAGAAGAGGAAGAAGAAAAAGGAGGAGGAGAGGAGGAAGAAGAAGAAGAGGAGGAGGAGGAGGAGGAGGAGGAGGAGGAGGGGATGGTTCTTCAAGTAACAAGAATGGAAATTCACATTGTGAAGTCTCTCTCTATATAAACGATTGATTAGGATCAAAAATTTATTGAATTATATAATAAACATCTTCCATATAATTAAATGACAATGATTACAGAAACCCACCTCCTCCCATGCGGTTCTGCATAGTTGTCGTGTAGCTTTCGGTCTTCTTGATCATGGTATCCGGTTCCTTCTCCTCGACTGCAGAACTGACACCGCTAGGTTTCCCATTCATGCTCTCCTTCTCCTCCTCCTCCTCCTCCTCATCGTCGTCATCTCGCCCAATCTTCCTCCCTATGCCTCCAATGGCTGTCGCTTCAGCCCCCTTGGGAGTCGAAGTACCCTGATATTCAAAACGCAACAACGAGTTCACACCGCAACTGGTGAAAAACAGCGGTTTGGATTGGAGCTTGGAGAGCAAAGAGCAAGCTTTCACACATCATGCCTCGAGCGCCCGGGAAACTGTACCCGGTCAAAAACAACAGTTGGTCGGAATGTAAAAGTACTAAAAGGTAGTAAACCCCTTGGGCTAAGCTCAGGGGCCATTTGGCTGGAGGTGAGGCTGGGTACACTGGGTCATGGTGGGGGGTATGTTTTGTACTGACCATGCTGGGATGCGCTGAAATTCGCATCTTCTGGCCTGGCTTCAGCTTCATCCCAGAGCTCACTTTGTCCTTTGCCGTGTGGTATGTGCTCTGCTTTAAAGTGCAGCAGGTTCAGGGTTCGTTTCCTGACGGGAGCATTTCGTTTAATTTCAGGTTTTCAGCGATTTGGATTGGATCTCGGAGAGCAAGAAACAAGCAGTCAAAAAACAGGCATGTTCACTCCATGTCTCAAAGGACCTTTACACACACACACACACACACAAAAAAAAAAAAAAAAAAAAAAAAAAAAAAAAAAAAAAAAAAAAAGATGCTAACTTGCTAAGCCCGGTAAGCCAGCAAATTAACAGAAGAATCCGACAAGATGGACAAGGTCGATAGCAGATGGAAGCAGACCAGATCATCAAGATTCCATTTGGGAAAAAAAAAAAAGAAAAAAACTAATAAGTTAGTAATAATGTAATAAACCTCTGAAGAGTAGAGGAGCTTAAAAAATGGCTCATCATAAGTTCATATTACTTCACCATAACCTATGGTGCACTTTCTGTCATTCAACCAGAGGCTCCATCAGGAGGAGAGGACTGGACAGGACAGGACAGATGCTGACAGTTCAAACCCATATCTGCAGTGTGTATGCTCTGATCATCCTTGAAAAACAGACAGCTTCCACTACAATAGGCATAAAGCCTGATAAAGGTATATAAAGGTATAGTGATGATGGGTACCACATCACATGGCTCACCACATTGAACGAAGTAAAAACTCCTCGTTCGATAAAGAGGGAAGTCTGTTTGTTTATATGTTTTTGAGGGTAATGGCCTTGCGATATCGTCTACAAACCGGCCAGGCCCGGGTAAATTCAGTGTTATTTACTCATCTGAGTTCTTCGGGTGAGGTCTCTGTATTTCAACAGTGCATGGGTGTACCAACTGAGCGAGGCCTTGTTGGTGGAAGGAAGTCTGATTTAAACGACCAGGTACGGCAAGAACAACAGGACAGATCCCAACAACAATGCAGACCTATGCGTAATATGCTCCGATCGAGAACAAGATGACTAGATACACTGTCTTCTTTCAACTCACAAAAAAGCAACAACAGCATGTTGCGCTAGAGAAGCCGATAGCAACAACAGAATGTTGCGCTAGAGAAGCCGATCTACGGCTCCAATCATTCTCTCTACCCCTTTGCAGGCACACGCCGTTTCCGGCGTTTCGCTCATTCTCTGTGGACTAACATTCCAGTCGACTTCCGCAAATCAGAGCGCGTTTCGTGTAGTCGGTGCTGATGGCGACATTACGGAGTAATCTGGAGAGAAAGATGCAGCATGCCAGCATCACACTTCGAAGACACGCCGAACTCCAGAGAAAAGGACTTCCGGGTTTGAGCAGCAGCAAAATGGGTAGTCTGGGAAGAGAGATGCAGCATGCCAGCATCACACTTGGAGGACGCGAGCAACTCCAGAGAGGAAGGTCGGTTTAGGCTTGGCCAGAGCGACAAAAACTATCTTATCGAGGCTGAGATCTTTACGAAAATGCCGAAAGACACATATTACTCATGCAAGGAGGACCCATCCATACTATAGAGTCGACATTGAAAAGGAAATTTCGGTATGCTTTGCTCGCTTGCGATGGCGAACCTTATGTGAGATATACATTCATACACCAACAAGAGTTCAACGACAACAGCTATAACAGTGCTCTCCGAATCCGTGCGAGATGGTCGCCCATCGCACAGCTCTCCAACCTGAGTAACCTTGGTGATGCTCCTGACACTCACCCATAATAGAAAGAAGATCAAACCGATGAAGAATCAATAACTGAATTACAATAATACACCCATGACATCCCATGAAACTAAACAGGACCCCGAATGAAGAAAAAAAAAGGGCCCCAAAAGATTCCAGGACCACGCATCAAAGGCAGGAACGTCTTTGAGACGGGAGATTGGAGGGGGTCCCAAATCACTAGTTTTCCAGGGCTCTGTGGGAGGTATCTGCAAATAAGGGTGACGGATTTGCTGGTTGGAGGGGAAATTTTCGAGCTCGGCCTAAGTACAGGTAACAGGTTGCGCCCAGGGCACTGGAAAGATGGAACTTAAAAATTTTGAATTTTCGGTAGGGAACAGGAGTTGGGGCCAGGCCCAAAGTCGAACAACGGTTTTCCCAATGCCATATCCCTGTCTCTTATACACATCTAGATGTGTATAAGAGACAGGGGTTTGAAATCCCGTTTCTCGTTGTTTTTTTTTTTTGTGTTTTTTTTTTTTTTTTTTTTTTTTTTTTTTTTTTTTTTTTTTTTTTTTTTTTTTTTTTTTTTTTTTTTTTTCTGCTTATTTTTTCAAAGAAACATTTGGCATTTGCCGAAAACTTCTTCACTTTTTTGTTCTGCTTTTTTTTTTTCTTTTCAATGAACCAGATACAAAGTTTTTTTCCCACATGTATCACAACAGGAATGACTCACCGAAGTTTTTTGCATGCAACAAGGATTGAACGGTCTGTTGCACAGCAGTGACAGCATTAGCAAATACATATCAGCCTCCTGATGAGTCGGTGAAACTCCGACGAAACAGTTTGTCACAGCCCCTCCCTCCCTCGTTTGTTGTCCTCTTCTCCCTCCCTGTCTGCCTACGGTTTACTGTCTGCAGCTCTGTTTGACGATATATGTTGCCACATAAGTTGTGACATAACTATGTACTAAAAGAGCGCACTCTGCCGAACAAAAGGTCAAGATTAAAAAAAAACAAAAAAACAAAGACGAGGGCCACACTGAAACTATTAATTTAATAAAATTTGTCTCATTTTTCTTTTAACTCCCCCTTCTCCGTGCCTCTCAGAGCTGCCCGGTAAACCGTAGGCAGAGAGGGAGAAGAGGACAACAAACGAGGGGCTGTGACAAACTGTTTCGCCGGAGTTTCACGACTCAGACTCATATATCGTCACATATATATATGTCACAGAACTATTGACTAAGAGCGCAAGCACGTGAAGTAGAAGAAATAAGATGAGCGAAGAAAAGAAAAATGAAAGGACGGACAGGCAAAGAGACAGACAAACCAGAATGCCACAAAACAGTGTCCTCTTATTCTTCGTTTCACTGTAAGGACAGACAGGCAAAGAGACAGACGAACCAGAATGACACAAAACAGTCCTCTTATTCTTTTTTTCACTGTATTCTTATTTCTTTCAGTGTTTTACGAAAAACATTACACTGAACAAGGGATAAAAATAAAAAACAAAGACACATTGAAATCATTCAGTTTCTCAGTCTTCTTAACGCTGCCTCCACCGTGCCTCTAACGTACAAGGCTCGCCACGTTGATGAAGTTGAGCGCGAGCTGCCCCCATATATAGTCTATATATAGTCAAACAGAGCTGCCGACCGTAAACTGTAGGCAGAGAGGGACAGAAGGGAGAAGAGGACAACTTTCACCGACTCATCAGGAGGCTGAACCCTCGACAGTCTGCAGAATCCCCTAACTGATTACACTGTAAGTGATAATCCACCTTAACCCCGGTTGCGGTTAAGGATCAATGCCTGCCCGACAACTGATACCCTGAGGTGGTGGGGACCACCAACCACTCCCCTCAAGGTACCTGTGACGAAAATCAAAGCAGACTATCACTCACTCACACCAGATGGAAAACTCTACAGACTGTCGGTGCACACCCCATCACATATATACTCGCACTAGCGAATTCACAATTGAATGTGGCCACAATTGTATCCACATTCAGATTATTCAGTTGTAAAAAGTGTGCACACAAGCCTAGAAAAGTCCCCGTGCATATGCTCTCTCTCTCTCTCTCTCTCTCTCTCTCTCTCTCTCTCTCTCTCTCTCCCCCCATAGCCGTTTTTTGGCATGTCCCTTAATGCTGTACAGACGTTCCCACCACGACAGCCAAAAAAACAAAAAAAAAAGTGAGCGGCCTAGCTCAGTTCGTTAGGTACGCAAATGGCATCCAGGAGGTCGTGAGTTCCTTCCGGACTGACCGCCTGGGGCATGCTTCGTGTCAACCAGCTGAGATGGTCGGCTTGCTCCCCTATTCGGTATTAATAGGGCCCTTAGCCGCCAGCACCGGTCTGAGTGTTTGTGGGAGAGTCCTGACCGTAGACACTGCTGTTACTCAATGGGGGTGGGGGAAGAACAATAGGGAGGTGTATCTAGTATCTACTGACAAAACTGCTTGGCCTTTGTGTTATCCGCCGGCAACTTGTAATCCCTAGACACTGCTTTTACTCAATTGGGGGGGGGGGGGGGGGGGGGGGGGGGGGGGGAAAAAAAAAAAAAAGGGGGGGGG